TGTAAAATGTCTGTCTGTTAATGTTTTCCTCCTTTTATTTTTAAAATAAATAAAAGAAAATAAATGTATCTAATAATTTCAAATATAAAGTAGGAAGCCGTACTTTAGTGCACAGAAAATGAACTCAAATAGTTTGGAAATTCTCGAAAGTGCAGCGTTACATAATTCATCTGAACAAAATGCATCCCCCAAATTTTTTAAAAGTATTTTTTTTATTCCTCAGTAGACACAGAGAAATTCAAACAAACACACACACACACACACGAACACACACACACACACTCACATGACATTGTGGGAATAAATTGATTTTTAAGACTATTTCCAGGTAGAAGTAAAATTGGACTTTTAAAAAATATTTTTATTTTATTGGTACACATTAGAATACATGATCTTCCATTCATCTTTGGGAGTAGGTGTGTGTAGACAATACAGCTGGATTCAGTTTGTTTCCTCTCACCTCCCCACACATTCTCTGTCCCCATTTACATCATTTTTGTTTTTATGGTATTATTTCTAGTTCATCTTTACAACATATAATGTTTACATTCATTGTGGGTATACGGCACATATATAAGACCCATTCATATCTTTCTACCCTTCCATTCTCTCGCTTTCTCTCTGTTTCTTTCTATGAATCCTTTATTTGTTCTCTATTTGTACTTAACCTTACTTGAATGAGAGATAACATAGACAATTTAAGCTTTTATATCTAATTTATTTTATTTCACTTAAGATTATATTTTCCAAGTATATTAATTTTCTCACAAATATCTCAAATTTATTCTTCTTTGTAGCTGAATAGTATTCCATTACATACAGATACCATTAAACATAAATGGTATACTGAGGTGCTTAGAAGTATAACTACCCTTTTATGATTCAAGGAGTACATGTTTGCTCAACAAATTTCTGTGTAATTATCACAGTTCTTTTTCAGATTTCAACATAACCCAAGTGAACACACTTTCCTTTCCAAAAAGAATGAAATAGCACGACTGATTCACTCATAGTCAGGCCTGGACTGGGCACTTTTAGGAAGAGAAAGGTAAGCAAAGAACCAAAGACACAATAAGGACATGCATGTGCATGCCCAGGCCAGACGTTTTAGTCCAAGAAAAATCTGTGATAATTTAGCATAAGGTCAGCAAGAGCATACGTTAATGAACTTTTTTTGTGGAAAAACCACACCAATATGGATTAATTATCTTAATGAGTAAACTGTAAAACTAAGAATCTACAGAGAAGAGATGAAGGTGGGAGGGGAGGAGGAAAAAATTAAGAAGTGTATGAACATGTCCCAACTCCCACATGAATGTAATTATTAGGCATGCAAACATGCACTAATAACAATTTTCAAAAGAGGAACATATAGAGAAAATGGTATTCTTATGTCTCACTAGAATTATTTCTTACTAAGACAAACCAACCTGTAGCATATAAATATTTTTAAACCTTTACCTTAAAAATAAAATGGCATGAGAGTGACTAAATAAATGGTGGGTTCTCCCTGAAAGATATTTTGGAAAGTTCCACTTTCCAATTCCTAGGTGTGACAGAACTCACATGGGCAATGCTTGGATGCAGAATTTCATCAAAACAACACGAGGAATAAATACAAAGGTGCATGGATGTCTTCAAGACCACTAGATAAGCACAAGAAATCGCAACCCAGGTGGCCTGAGGTATTCCCAGAGGGCTCACAATGACTTTACAATGAGTTAAAGTTTCTGAATGATCATTCTTTCATTTTAACTTAATTTTCAAATTAGTATCACATATATTTTCTTTCTTCTGGGACTTTATGTAACTATTACTTTAAAACATGCATTTCTTACCTTTGAATCTTGAGCTTTCTTGACTTTTTTCCTGCTGGAATTAAAACAGAGGTAGGTTAAAATCTTTAAATAAATATGTGTTCAATATTCTATTATAAAATAACGCTTTGAAAATGAGTCAGAATGTCTATGGCACGCTTACTCTAGAGACATTGTGACAGTTTTCACCTTAAACATCTATGCAAAATCTATTACTGTAGTAGGGATAACAATCGGCAGACGTATGTTTCTCTAAGAAGCCTACATCATATGAATATGGATTAGTAAATAAGTGGTTAATGAATAAGTCAATACTCATGCTCCTGAAATGCCTCAGGCTATCCCATTTAATTTCAGTAGATATTGAATGATGTGCTCAGAATTTGCTTTGGATTGGTCTACATTAACCATGAGTTGGTGAAGGTAAAAGTTTAAGGGAAAACAGTGGAAAATTTCACTAAAATGAATCAAAAGACTTTTCAACTGTCATTCCTTCAACTTAACTTAGAATTAGACCCTGTCTCACTTCTTTAAGGCTAAAATTGACAACAATTTTATTATTTATTCAAAGGCTGCTCCAGTTAGATCTGTCTCTCAATTTGACATACTCCTTAGTTACCAGGCAACCTCAAAAGACTGAGCTCTTTTTCAAGTTTTAAAGTAGATATCATGCACTCTCTAACTTCTTGATTAAGATTCAAGTAGTTTAACCTGTCTAAAATTCTCAGGGTCTCACACTGAAAATAATTTAAAAGCATATTTCAAACAGAAATGGTAATCATATATATAATAAATTGCAGAATTATACAAATTCCAACCATTTACGGTAACAGTAAAAAGAAATACAAGAAACTTCTATTGTTGCAAACATGAATCCCAGATTCCAAGTCTGAGAATAAAAATATATATTGTTGACTGTATATTGATTAAACTACTTAACATAATGTTCTGATTTTAAGACTTCAACTTCTAATTTTTTCATACTAACTTACCCACCCTCTTAGTTCATATTCTGTTCTGCCCTTTAATAGTTCATTAGTTTTTCTATCTCTGAGTTATATGTAGAGTATCTGTTGGTAATTTAAATGTAAATTATTTCTGTCAAATACATTATTCTTTCAAAATTACAGGATTAGAGGGCTTAAATTTTCAAAAGTGGCATTTGTTAATAAATCTCTCTTTCTCTTTTCTCTTGTTATTCATTCAGCCAGTCATTCTTTCACTACCTATACATGAATCACTTTTTATACGCTAGGCAAGAGACTAAGAGTGAACAAAGGGTTCAGAAATGTCCTCATGAAACGCTGCGAAAATGGCAATGACTTCTACTCGGAAAAGTTTACCACAGAAGGTGACGGTGTTGGCCTGGAGAGAGACAACTAAACATATGGCCACAAGACCAAACTGATTTTTAATAAAATTCCAGTGCATAGGAATAGGATACAAGCATACATATATAAGGAGACTGTGAACTAGGAATAAAACAGAATTGCAAATATACTATGCTAAAAGTTCTCTGTCATTGTCAAAAGTATCTATATGGGACAGGACTGGCTTGAGTGAAGGCAGTATAGCAGGAAATGCAACCAGGAAGGTCATAGGGACCAGACAAACCAGCACTCGGTGGACTAGGGTGCTGAGGGAGCACTGGACTTCTCAGGGGAATGCTAGTGTCTGGTGACCTTTAGATGGAACCGTTGTGTCTGTTGACAACAGTTTGTAAAGGGTGGAGCAGGGGCACCCAGGTGGGCAGTGCAGGGACAGAGCACAGGCATATCCTGTCCCAGATGCCAAGCTTTCCTTGTGGAGTAAATGTTGATGGCAGAGACGAAGCAGACACGTGTGACTCCGAGGACCTGAATGGCTGAAAGTGGCCAAGAAGAAAGACTTTTATTCCTTCTTCATTTTCTTTCTAGTGCTATCACATGTAGTTTATCTTCTAATTCTGTGGTCACATTCATACAGTGTCTTTTAATGATTGCTGCTTACCTCAACAACTCTTAGACTATAGGTTCCATGGTATTGAGCAGTTGTCTTTCCTACACATGGCTCAATCCTTTGGTGCTTTTATCTGATCTGGCTTTGAGTACTATCCTCTTGCCAAGGTCACCCAAGTTTATATTATCACAAACAAGCTCAGCATTGAATTTCAGATTCATATATCTACTTGCAGTTTACACACATCTGTTTGGATACCTAATACCACACCCTATATGTCAAGTCCCAAACTGAATTTCTGATCTTCCCTTGCCTCTTTGTTCATCTTCTTCATGCACACTGCAGGTAATTATCTCACCCTTCTAGCTATCAGAACTCCTAGAATCATCCTTGTTACTTCACCTATTAAGAAGAAATACACTTCAGAGTTCATAGGTTTGCTGTTTTTGACATTCCGACTTTGGAATTTTATGGTCACTGAGGTTCAGAGTAAGCAGATAGTTATGTCATGGGAGCTACCTGAACAAGACAGGTGAAGTCTGAACTCAGCAGTGTACAGTAAATGCATCAGTTTGTATTTGAAGAACACTTAGTAGAGTTGCATTACTCACAACTGAGTACTTGAACAATATTTGAAAAATAAAAAGTGAAAAACAGCCACCAGAAGAGAATGCATGGATAGAAAAATTATAGGAGAAAAATCAGAAGGGTAGGGAAGTATGAAATCCCAAGTAACGGATTATTTAGGAAAGAAATTTCCAATATTGTACAACTCCATCAGTAATGGGTCTTTAAAAATGCCCATTCACATTACTGAGTTAGAGGAAATAATTGCCTTCAGATTTTTAGTGCACTTATGGGCTTAAAAAACCTGAAGTTTTTTAAAAATGAGAGGTACATCAAAAAATGTTAAGAAGTGGTAAAAACGGAATGTGAGAAGCATTACTGGGACGGAAAGCCTTGAGATGGCACACGGGGGTGAGCAAAGCCCTGTCCATAGAGACAGATTGCTTGCTGTGTCATTACTTGGCATTTTGAGAGAAATGTCATAGAACGAGGATCAGTTCCAGTAATAAATATGCAGGTGGACTCTGAAAGCCTTTTGTCATAGATATAACTGGTATGTGGGTCTGATTCTGCTTTATGTAATAAGAACAAAAGTGGTGGGCTGATGGTAGGGGTGATTTTTCAGAAATTTGAGAGCTATCAAAGAATGTATTATTTGCTATTATTACTATTATCATTTGAGATGCTGTGGAGGAAAGTCAGGATCTCATACATGCCAGGCAAGTGCTCAACCAATGCCATCCAAGATTTCTTGTTTTTTTTTTTTCTTTTATATACAAAATTTTAATGGCATTACTTTTGCGAGAACAGTGAAGAATCTCACCTAATACAGTTTGGTATAGTTGAGTCAACCCTAATGAGTTTTGTCATCATAAATCTATGATATTGATCTTAGTGTTAGTTTAGCTATTGTCAAGTAGGCTGAACAGTTTCTGATATTATATGTTATTAAGTTTTCCAGACCCTCTTTTCAATGCAATTGTGTGTAGTTACAAATTATCAATGCAAACATGCTTAAATAGTCTACAAACACAAAATGTTTGAGAAACATGAATTTAGAGAAGAGGAATTGGTAATCCAATCAATGAACTCGAAGTAATAGTCACAAATTAAGCACTGAGAAAAAAATAAAAGTCCCCCAGTCACTACTGGACATGTATGGGTCCCTTTCCATAGAGCCTTCTTGGCTATGTTCAAAGTAGTAAGTATTCCAACATGCTTTTATGAGTAAAATATTATTATTCATCCTGGAAATACATGTATTGAAAAATTTTATTTTACAAATAATCACTTCATGTTTGAAATATTAACTTTTTATAATGAAAGTTATGAAGAAAATTGTGATGATTTAATTATGTAAGACTAATAAGTGAACAGAATGATTTGTTACTTTCCCCACAGCATATATTTGAAAAATGCTACTACAATTAGAAATCTTGGGTCTTGTCTATATAACAGCAGGAGTCCAACATATCTTTGTATTATTGAATTTTAATATTTCTAAAGTTTTATGACACAGTAATCTTGTCTTAAAATAAAATACATGTTTTGGTCATATTTCAAAGCTAAATAGCAGAGCTTTCATATATTTACTTTCCACTACAATACTATTTGGAGAATTTCCAAAGTGCTATATATTAATTACACAAATAGACTCCACCAAATCTAACCTAATGTTTAGAGGCCCCAAAGCCCTTAAAGATAGTAATGATAAAGGATAGCAAAGGCAGTTTGGGGAGAATAATGTATTCAGAAAAAAACACACCATCTCTTAAATATTTTTAAAACAGTAAAATAAATGTAACATATAAATGAAGTTGGGGTGCACAATAGTTTTGTAAATGAAGAGCGGTGATGCTAAAACATCTAGTACATTAGAGTGTAGCAAATTACAGTAATGCACTACTTGTTACTCTATCTGGACTATTATCCAAGAAGATGTTATTATTAAGGCTATAATCCAGTGTTTGATTTACGGGCATGAAAATTGTTAACATAGAAGTGTAACTGCTTGGTTTAAATTTCTTCTCAAAATTTTCTCCTTCTTTCTCATATAATTACTATTTTCCAGACAATGTCAGCAACTGAGAGTGGAAAAGTGAGTGATGATTTTCAGTAGAATGCTCTCATCCATCATACATTTCTTCCCACGTGCTAGATGGCAAAAACATACAATATCGAGGTGCTTTCAACACATTTATTAGAGCTATTAACTAATGTGGATTTTAAAGTCACAGAAGTTGGGCAGGGAAACTAACTCAGCACAGTTACCTCATCATCACCTCAGAGCACATCTCTCCTATGCCCTTCCACTCATGAATGCCCATCAGTCCTTGAACTTCTCCCCAGTCCTCCCACACATTTTGTCAGAAACGTCTACTTCACTAGTGGCAATTTCATTATACAAAATGCCTGGAAAATAAAGAAATGGGCATGTGTAATGCAGCGCACCTAACCTATGCAACAATGGTGGCATACACATATTATCTGTAAACTATAATGGGGAATTTCAGTCTTAGTTCAATCACAATCTTCTCATCTTTTATTTAA